AAATGACATCCAGCGACAAGGACTTCAGGTGAGTCCGAAATCCGACCCTCAGCCCACCTCGGGGCCCCTCGTTCGCGTCGCTGGCCCTCTTACAGGCCTTGCCCCACCCCTTTGGCCTTAACCGGCTCTTTTGCTTTCCCGAGGTCTCCAGCCCAGCCTCTGCTCCTCGGTCCCGCCAGGCCCCTTTCCTCGTCCACCTTCTCACCCCCTCCCCCCATTCTTTTCTCTAGGCCGTTGCCCGCCTCGGGTCCTAGGCCCGGTCTGCGTCCCCCAACGCCCCCACCGCAGTCCCTCCCAGAAAGTGACTTTCCCGCCCCAGGTAGCGTGAAGGGGCGAGACCGCGCACCGTGGTGGGGAAAGGGGTCGCTCTAGGCTTGGAGACCTGGAGGTGGGGCCTACCGCCGGCCTGCCCGAGGCGCTAGGCCGCCGTGCTCGCGGCGCCCGAGCTCCTACTGCCCACTCAGGGACCCAGCTGCCGCCTCCTTTCCCGCAGCTGTGAGTGGGCCTAGGTGCGTTCAGTTTGAACGATTTGCTTTTATTCTCTAGCTCTTCGGGGACTGGGTTGTATATAAACTTTTTCTTTGGATTATCTTTTTCATGAAGGTGGGAAGAAAGAGGAGGGGGAGCCTGGATGGTGGAAACTTGACTCGTAGGGTTTTCCCGCCAGCATCTCTTGTCATTTTCCGTTGTCAGGTAAAAACCCAAACAGGAACTCGGGGTTTCATTCTCATTTCCTTTTATCCAAAATTACTGCCAGAAAGGTGAATTGCTGAACCATAAAGAAAGAGGTATATCGAGCAAATGGATCTTACTGAAAGGAGGAGTTTTCTAATATGGGGGTGGTGAATATGGTTTGTATAGAAGTTCTGTTGCAGGAGACTTGGTTCCAAACCGTGGTAACATGCGTATTGAAGAAATGTTATATTTTCACGGATTATCTTGGTTTCTCTCTTTTTTTTGGACTACAGTAATTGTTACATTCCTTCTTTCCCACATCCTATCCCCATCACAAAATAAGCACCCAATTTAAAAAAGCTTTTTATATTATTGATACTTGTTTTGTTCTCTGCTGGTTGTGTTTTGTATGCATTTTAAAGGTACGAAGTCTTAAATCTGAATTGTGGCCGAAGGGCTTATTTGGTGCTTTCGTATGAACAATACACTTTTAACACCTGAAAACATGCCCACACTTCATGTACTGGAAAAGAATTTTCAATTTGTGAAAGGAGAACCATTTCTAATTAAATTGATATGCTGCATATTAAAATGGCAGTGAAGTAGAGTTTTGATTGTAACTTCAAAGCCAAAGATCATTTTCAAAAAGTTTTGCTACCTGGGACGTTTTTAAGTATTGCACTTAAAACTTAAAATCAGTTTGCTAATTATAAAGATTTTTAGTGTCACTTTTTGGAGGAGACATGTTTATTTTGGGTATTTTAGTATTTTTAGATTTGTGTAGTTGTAGGGTCAAAGTCAAGATTATGGGGGAAATAAAAGTTTTTGTTTTTTAAATAATTAGAATGCTGTTTATTTTCCTTTGGAGCGTTGTTTGGTCCCAGTGCAAGCCCCTGAAACGTAAACATTTGAATGGAACTTACATTAAAATCTGTAAGCAGTGTAGAGTGTGTGGTGTAATTCACCCACCCCCTCCTGTTTCTGTCAGTTGGGCTCATTTTGTAAAAATACTGAATTTCACTCTGATTGTATTCAATTTTAGTCTAAAGATAGGACTTTCCCTATAATAGTACAGTTTTGTTCCATTAGTTAGACTTGTGTATGGATATATTTAGAGTAAATCAAGTCGTATGATAATACTACATATGTGATTATTGACTAAAGCTTCCTTTCTTAAATTTCTTGGAAAAATAATACATACATGCTTGGGTTTTTTTTTTTTTTAATTATATGGAAGAGTAATGTGCTAATATTAAGCCATACCCACTGTTGAACTTGATAAGGATTATCTACGAATTTGGGCTAGAATAAATCAAAACATTGCTTGGAGGATTGGTTATTCTCCTAAAAGTGTGATACTGGTATATTTCTAATATAGTTGGTAACTATGATAATATGTTTAGGAACAGTAAGTGACTTCTAGTAATTTATCATTAAGATATTTTAATTAACTATTTTTAAGACTTGTAATGTGCTCAGGCCATCCAGTAAGAGATAAGTCTTTGGAACCAAAGCACTATATATATTACATTACTGACATTTAAGAGATTAATTAAAATATGGATCATTTACAGTTAAGTATTTTGAGATTTTTCTGTGTGTTTTCAGTATAGACACTTACTTGAATACATGTATTCTATTTTTAAATGATGCTTTCTAGTTTCTCATTAGAAATTTATTTACTTTTTATTTTGGTGTGAATATCATAGTTGTTACATGTTTTAAAATACCTAGTGCTAGAAGGATCTTGAAGACAAGAATAGTTAACATTATAGAAAATCTAACATGCAAACCACTCTACCACTCTGCTAAGGGGAGAAGAAAACAATACATCAAAAAGGAAGAAAAGTTTATTTTTCTTATGGTGGACTCCAAAGAGAATATTTCTTGTTGGTCACAAGATGTGAGCTTTAGTCCTATAGGATTCCTTGCTGTGAACTATCTGTGATACCTTGGGTAGGCTACTTAGTTCGGGATTAAATTTTCACTTTTGAGAGACTCATTCGTGGGTTACAAAAGGTCCCTTATAGGCCTGAAACTTCAGGTCTCTGGATGACTGCATAGTTTTTTAATGAAGAGAAGGTAAATGGGTGCAGGCTTCAAAATATGTGTGTCAGCATTTTTAAACAATCCCTTTGTAGAACGTTAAAATTGTAGGCTTAATTTATTGGGCAGAAAACTCAAAACCTGGTGTCCTTTTTCTTTCATGTTTTAGCATTCTGTATTCTTTGAAGGTAAGATATTAAACTTTAGTGCCAGTAAGTAGATGATTCCGTAGATAATGGAATAAAACTTTAACGTGTGCAAAATGAATGCTTCATTTATAAATTTACCATTCTCTTATCTCTCTGTGCATAAGAGTTAATATTAATACTTCCTGTGGACTTTATACATTTATCCTCTTTATCCTTACAACTCTGTTAAAGTGAATACTAGCAATCTATTACAGCTGAGGAAACTTGGATCTGATGATAATTACTTGCCCAGATAGACAGTAGTAGACAGTAGTAGACAGTAATAGATCTGGATATCCAGATACCCCCAGAGCATGAACTCTAACTACAATATTCTGCCTCTCCAAGATTTTGACTAGGAGACATGAGGAGTAAGACCGTAAGTTTTAGTTCCCTCTTAAATTAGGTTTATGGAATATTATGTACTAGAAGACACTTTAAATAATTCCCTGAGAGGAACTTCAAAAGTTGAAGATTAATGCTTGTCCTCAGTATTATCTACATGCATGTTGAATGGTTAAGACACTTGTAAAGAAAAATAAATTATTCAGGGCAATATGTAGTTTTCAGGCTTAAGGTGGCAGAGAAGATGAAAGCAAAGAGATTCATGTTCAAGGAGTAATCTGAACTAGGTCTGGAAGTTGTACTTAGAGAAAATGGGTACAGGTATGAAAAAACACTAAGCAAAACTCTATTGGGGGAGAGGGTATAGATAATTTTAATAGCACGTAAGGACCTTGTCTTACTGAACTTAATCCTCCACTCTATTCTGTGCCTTGGCCATGTGTGTTCTCAATAGTTACTTGTTTTAGTTGAATTGGATTTTAGTTCTGGAGTTAAGAAAAAAGCATGTATGGATTGGGGAAGTTTCTTCAAGAAACCATTGTAAAGTATACCAGTCTATTCTTTTTTAAATTTTATTTTCATTTTTGAAAGGGGGAGATAATTGGGTTTATCTATTTATTTATTTTTTGAAGGGAGGTACTGGGGATTGAACCCAGGACCTTATTACCCAGTCTGTTTTTTAAATTACCACTTGATACTATCTTAAAATACTTTACTGTACTGTAAAATTTCCTAGCTTGATAATGGCTTATGGTACTACATTTATATGTTTTGGTTATTGGAAGGCATTTGCTCTTAGAACCTGTTTAAAATGCTGGTGAAAGTCTCAGGCCTGTTATGGAATCATCACAGAGCTGGAAGGGACCTTAGAGATCCATAGCTTCAACAGTACTGTGTGGGCATTTATAATAATGTAACAGGAGAGACTAAGTTACCTGGACTGCTTGTGCTTGAAGAAAAGTAGGTTTAATCAGAAGAAATAGATTTGTAGAGATTAAAAAGGTGATTTCTGAGCACTTTTTAAGTACTTTGTTGATGGCAGTAAATTACATGATCCCACTTAGGTAATTTTGAGGGGGGGGAGTGTGTGGATACAGATAGAGTACTGCTAACTGATTATCAACAGTGATTAGGGCTCACCACTGAAAAAGAAGAGAGAAGGGCCTCATTGAAGGAAGTGGGAAGAAGAAAGATGACTAAAAATTAGTTTTATTTACATGA